TATTATATCTAATAATTTCTACATTTTGCTGATAATAACTTATATTAGATTCAATGTATTTATTTAATAAAAACTATTTTTTATGTCACAAAATATATACATTTCTAGTGTATTAGTATGTCTTGAGGAGAGAGAGAGAGAGAGAGAGAGAGAGAGAGAGAGATGAAAGGAGGGAGGGGTAGGTATTTAGGGGCAGGAATTGAGAAGAGAAAGGGTTGTATTATGCTATGTTTGGGACATAATAATTATAAATGTACAAGCATACATCCAAAAAAATATAACCAATGTCACGTAGAAAAACACGCCAATACATTCACCCCGTGTTTTATACCCCTCTCGTATTCACTATCTCTCTAATACCATTATATTTAGTACATAACTGTATATTTGGTCATACGATGGGTTCAATCGATTTTGATTTCAGTGAAAAACAACAATTTTATGATTTTATTCATGATAACTTTTTTGTTGTTAACCACAAACCCAATTATTATGTACCAAGAGAGCATCATGTTATTTATGTGAAATAGAGACATAACAAAAACAATTTTTTGTCCCTGCTCAGTCGGCATTTACGTCTACCATGTAGTTATTTACTCGGCAATTATTATTGTGTAGATATTTGATATAAGTTTTCTCTTTCTTTTTCATTCTCTCTGCAATCTCTCTCTCTCTCTCTCTCTCTCTCTCTCTCTCTCTCTCAAGACATACTAATACACTAGAAATGTATATATTTTGTGACATAAAAAATAGTTTTTATTAAATAAATACATTGNTCTCTCTCTCTCTCTCTCTCTCTCTCTCTCTCTCTCTCTCTCTCCTCCCATACACTTGAATGGGCTGTAACTATAAATAGAGGTCTGCGACCGATAAACGTCTTCATATGTATAGAATACACGTATATATGCGTTGAATATATGTATTATATATCATACATGTATAACTGTTTATTGTATAACTGTTTCATAGATAAAAAATGAAACTCATTTATTCATTTCACTTACATTTCTCAATAAGTAGTTATAGTTTTGCATTCAGTCTGACTGACAGACGGATAAAGAATTGAAAATTGATTTGAAATTAATATAATTAAAACTTGATAAAATTATGATGAATGAATTAAATGATCTGGAGCAATAATGATTGAGCAATAAATTATGGTCCATAATAGTGAATGTTCAAGTAGAAAATTGACCTATAGTCTTTAGACATACACTTTTTTCAATAATAATATTAATCTTAAACATGTTTATTGAGAGACACATAATCAATGCAAAACAAACACACCGTTTATCTAACAATACTCGCCATCACTACAGATAATAGGTGAGGGGGCGGATGGGCCGAGGGGTAGGTAGAGAATAGATATATCTATGTATTTGTCAGTAGCGGTGGTGTGATTATGTATGTATTTTAGCCTTGTTCAATATAATACACCAGCCAATTCACCTTCACCTTATATTTCCGATAACATGTCTGTAATCTCTATATTTCTCTCTCAAACACTGTTTTGTAGACATAATCAGACTTTTAGTATATATTTTTTTTTCTCTCTTCTTCGCCTATGTTTTTGTGAGGCATATATTCTTGTAATGTATATACAGTGTAAGTAAACCAAACGACAAATAAAACATACATAATAAATAATTCTCCAATTTCTATGCCCTCTCTCTCTCTCTCGCTCTCAACCCTTAACTCTCTTTTTATATTTAAGTTTTTGAGCGAAAATCTTTTGCTTCACTTTTATTTCAATCGCCGAGAAAAATATTTATGAGTTATTTTTTGTGATGTTGTTATCAAATATACATATATTCATGAATATTATATACGAATGCGAGAGAAATGTTTGATTTGAAACTTCACTATTCAATCGACGACTCCGTGTATAGTGTTTTGTGAGAGAGAAAGATATAAAAGTTATTTTTGCTTTCACTCATCGCTAAACTAAATAGTAATAAAAATCATAAATACTTTTATTTATTTATTAATCAAATAATTAAACAGCGATTCATATATAAAGATATAAAAATACAAATATTTTTCTAACGCAAACAATTTTTTGTTTTTTCTCTTCATTATCTTCCATGAATGGATTGAATCAATCGTTTGGATCGATGGACAAGCAGTTCCAGAGGATGGAAGATGTCGTCTGGGACTTGAGCTCAATAGCGGAGGAGGATTTTGATCAATTAGCTGTTTATTTGGTGCCCGACCAACCATGTGATGATAGCACCCATACCAGCGCCAGTAACCGAGCCGAGGCCAGTCTGCCTCGTAATTTAATACTTAAACCCTCGCAAACACTCAGCGATGTATGTATACCATAGACAACACACACATATATAAAGTACATTATCACACATATAGACACCTACACTATAGACATAATACATACTTTTAACCGTTATCAAACTATCACACTTTGGGTATATTAATACCATAATTAACCCCCGTTTGTGTCTACCCCTCCCCCAAAATGACCAGGTTCTTGGTGTTTGGAGCACAGATTACATTCCCAGAGGCACACGCTTTGGCCCACTTGTTGGAGACATATATAACAAGGACGACGTGCCCAAAGATGCCAACCGTAAATACTTCTGGCGAGTCTACACACCGGCAGCCAAGTCGGGCGGCGACAACAGCAGCGCCGGTACCCCCACCGGGCCATCGGCGGCGGCGTCGGGAGGCGAAAGTTACCACTACATCGACGGGTTCGACGCGACCAAGGCCAATTGGATGCGCTACGTTAATCCGGCGTATAGTAACGAAAGCCAGAACCTGGTGGCGTGTCAGGTGAAGCGGCACATCTACTTCTACACCATTAAGCCGGTGCTGCCCAACCAGGAGCTCCTGGTTTGGTACTGCAAAGAGTTTGCCGAGAGGTTAAACTACCCGTTGACTGGCGAACAGATGTTGAACAGAATAAGTATGTGTTGGTTATGATGGGCGCCGGGATGTGTGCCCTGTTTTTGGTGGACAGTTATGCTTATTATAATGTGTTTTGTATTGTAGGACAACAACTGAGTCCCGACACGAAGGAGTACTTCATGGCCGCCAACACCCGAATGACGCCCAACCCGGAGGGCAGCACCCGATCCGATGAGGGCTATCACAGCAACGGCTTTCACGACGACCACTTGACCCCACCCGAGGACAGCTCCGACAGCGATATCGACAACTATGTGCTCGACTTGAGGGCCGTTAAGACCACCAAAAAGTCGTCGTCCGATAAGGAGAAGGAGAAGATGAAGGCATCCAAAGCGGAGGTAACTATCCATCACATCCCGGCGGGAGTGACGCCCCGGCCTATGGAACTGTCACTTAACCACTTGTGTTATCTCTGTTCACTCAGATGGAGGACAACGAGTTCCGGATGGTTAAGATAAAAATGCCCAAAGCCTACCACTACCGCACGTCTGGGAGTCCGCCAAACGGTAAGCGCAGTATAAGCGCCGACGACGAGGACAGGCATCTGGTTGTGGCCAACGCCGGCCTCACGCCCAAGAAGAAGCAGGTGATGATCGGCGGCGGCACAGACCTGACGATCGCCGACAGCAAACACTACTCGGTGGCCGACCCGTCGAGTCCCACGTACGGCGCGTCGGCCAAGTTTCCCACCGAAGCGGATCAGTCGGTGCCGGAGTCGACGGCTTTGAAGCCGATGACCGGTGGGCCGGCGCCGCCGGTTAGCCACCACTCGCCCCACGTTTCGCCCAAGAGTTCCAGCGAATCCGCTTTTTCAGTGGTTCCGGAGGGTATGTTTCAACGGATCACTAATGGCGGCACAACCGGCGGTCAGACGAGTCCCAAATCGTCGTCCGGAGCGCCCAATGGCGGTCAGTCGGGCACTGGTATACTGGAAAACCTGTTGATACAGCGCCTGCACGCCGAACGAGTGGCCGCCGCCATACAGATAGCCGTCACGTCGGCCAATGGTATCCACAGCACCGCCTATACGGCCGCTAACGGCAAATACAACGGTATGTCTCCGCCGGCCGGTGCCCTACCATCTGTCAAAGAGCCGGTCCGTGTGATTGTCGACCAGACACAGAAGTCCGGCGATCATCACCACCACAATCAGCACAACCACCACAACGAGCGCCATATGAACGGCCAGACAGTGGTCAACGGCCATCACGGGTCGGTGCACTCGAGCCCCCGATCGACACACAGCAGTTCCAGCGGTGGTCCGGACAGCCATCACAACCACCACCACAACAGTAGGGCACACATGATATACCCGCACAAGAAAAACTACGGCCGGTATGCGAACGGCAACCATCACCACAACAACAACGGTCACCACCCGGTGGTGGAGATGCACTCGCCGGACAGCACCGACAAAACACACTCGCTGAACGTGGTCACCAGCGCCAGCTCGGGCGCCAGCCCTCCCGGCCCCGGCTATCACCCACCGTTGGGTCCCACCGCAGCGGCTGCGGCCTCTAACTATCTGTACGTGAACGGCATGACACCCCTATTCTCACCCGGGCACTTCAACATGTACGCCTACTCGGCCATGACACACGCTGCCGCCTCGGCAGGCTTGCACCCCAGCCCCGGCTCAGCCGACTCACTGCACGGCCCGCCCGGCGCCGGCCATCACATGAACGGTCGCCAAAACGGCGCCCAACACTTCCATCACCCGAAGATACCGCTGGGCATCGAATACCCGACCGCACACTCTCTGCTACAGCGCTCGCCGCCCGGCGCTCACGACCCCAAGAGTCCGTACGCTTCGGCCCGCAGTAACGGCACTCCGTCGCCGCCCTCGTCCATAGCGTCGGTGTCCGGTTCCGGCGGCCCCTACTCTCCCAACTCATCCAATCGGGGCTACCGTTCCCTACCCTACCCGTTGAAGAAGAAAGATGGTAAAATGCACTACGAGTGCAACGTGTGCTACAAGACATTTGGCCAGTTGTCTAACCTGAAGGTGCATTTGCGCACGCATTCCGGCGAACGGCCCTTCAAGTGCGGCACCTGTAGCAAGTCGTTCACCCAGTTGGCACATTTGCAAAAGCACCACCTCGTTCACACGGGCGAAAAGCCGCACCAGTGCGATGTGTGCAAAAAGCGATTCAGCTCCACCAGCAATCTGAAAACCCACCTCCGCCTCCACTCCGGGCAAAAACCCTACGCCTGTGACCTGTGCCCGGCCAAGTTCACCCAGTTCGTTCACCTCAAGCTGCATAAACGGCTGCACACCAATGAGCGGCCCTACACCTGTCAGACGTGCAATAAAAAGTATATCTCCGCCTCCGGTCTGCGAACCCACTGGAAGACCACGTCGTGTCAGCCCAACACCGTTCACATCGGCGGCGGCGAGTATATCGACATCGAGCTCACCCGCAGTTCCAGCGCCTTCTCCAACGGCCAGTACAGCGATTATATGCTGAACGGAAAGCACTCGCCGACCAGTGCTGGCGATTATCACGAGAACGGTTCCATCAATGGCTACGACGAGGACGAAGAGATGGACGAAGACATTGATTGCGTCGACGACGACGACGAAGACGAGGGAAGCATTCAGATCGACGACGACTGCGACGACGATATGATGATCGGCGACGAGTCCCGGGGCTCGCCGTCGGCCTCTCTCAGGTCGGCCTCATTGAACGGCGAGTTACTGTCGAAACAATACCAGACAAACAATAGTACAATACGCTCGGCGCTGACCAATGGGTCGTCGGCGCCGTCGGTCAATGGCAATACGACAGCACCGGGCGGTGGTGTGGATCAGACGAGTAGTTTGAACAGCTCGACGACGCCTGTGATCAGCGCGTTGATCGGTTTGGCCACAAGCGGTGGTCAGCCGGTGGTGGTTAAGGAGGAGCACAACAATAGCCAACACATGAGTAAGTCGTGTACGACAGCGGAAAGGGAGCGCTCGGCCGCCGGACACAACCCGGTCAACGAGATAAAGCCGGCGCCCGAATGTAAAGTGTGAACAAATGGATTGATTATATTATAGCTATTAATACATATTGTATACAATGATAAAGAGATATGGATTTAATTGGGTTATGGATTATAAAGACATAACACTTACTGACAGTACACACATAGACAACACTATACAACACGTGATTTAATATATTTATACATTTAATTTATTTATTATTTAATTATTTAAAACACAATATAAAACACTTACATAAATATAAGATAATTTATAACATAAAAATGCCATTAATTTTATTTCAACGAGTTTTAAATAAGAGAGTTTTTAATTATAAATTAATTATTTTATATTATTACTATTATTTCCATTCATTGGCTGTGATTCCCAAATGTTTTAAATGTTTTTTATTATAAATTAATTATTTTGTGTGTACTATAAGAATATTATTTAATTATTATTATATTATATATAATTTAAGTTATTTTTTATTTCGATGAATTATATTCTCGTCTACACTATAACACACACAACTGTGCGCTAATATATACCATGTATTGTATATCTCCCTATCAATCACCACAACTGGCCCCTCGCCCTATACCTGTCCTATCTCTCTATCACTCGACACATTGTTTTCATACAAATTCATTACAATTAATAAATACTAATTCTTAATCTAATTTATTATTACATTTAATACTATTGTTATTGAAATCGTTAATGAATTTCCAGAATATTCCGCATATTCTGGTGTTACGGATCAGAGAAATGCGTTATTACCCACATATGGGATAAAAATGTTAATTATAAATATGGTAACTAATTATTGAAAGTATTTTTAATGAGTTTATCAGATAAATAATGAAAAACATTTTTTGATACCATATATACTTATGTATTAGAGGATGAAAACAACGGTACTATTAATATTAATATAAGCGATAAAATACTAGACACAAAAAAGTCCATTCAAATCACATTTAGTCTACGATTTTTACAGACAACACAAAACCGCCAAATGATATGATTATTGATTTAATTGAGAGAGAAATGTGTGTTTAATCTCAAAAAACACTCGTTTTTCTAACTTAATGTATTTAATGGTACAAATAAATAGCAGCATTCCCACCACTTTTAGCCCCAGACATCCCATGTTGTTATACAACATTACACTGTAATAAATAAGTGCAACAATTTATACACTACTGTGAATAGTTATTAATTAATTTTTAACTCAAGTACGTCCCGAACAAATTTTAAGTTTCCCATTCAATAAGCATATGAAATATACAGTTCCTTACAATTTGCAAAATACAGTTACAAAAACTAATTATCACTCACTTGTAAAGCAATCCATAAAAATTCAATTGTTTTTTAAATGATGTACTTTTAGACAAAAGTAATCTAGACTTTTATATATGCATATAATTAATATATTGGTTAACAATGAGCTAAACATTGCATAATATTTGACGGAATATTTCCCACCGAATATACCATTAGTTTGAATACGAGTCTAACGATAATTACAATGTATTACATAATTTGAAAAGCAATAGTTAATAGAGTTGTAATACACTATACAACTAATGTCTATTAAATCACTAGCAAATTACAAAACTATAATAATAGTAATTAAATGTTTAGCTTATTATCAGGTAAATAAAAATATAAATAAATAGTTATTGTTTGTAATAATAAAATTGTTATTTAAGAGAAATGCTGTTAAATATAGTAATTGATAGGAAGTAATAGAAAAGGTTGACAAATATTCAGTGAATTTTACACAAATAATTAAACTACAAAACTAATGATTTAAAATACAAATAATATGACATTAAAACTACATTGATCATTTCATTATTTACAATGTGCGCTTATGTTTTTCATCGGTATTTATTGTTATGTTGTTTTATCATTAATTGAGAGACAGTTTATAACACATAGACATTACATAATTCACATCCCATTCACTCATCAATTCATTAAGAAATAAATATTTAATTATTATTTGATTTTTTGTGAGTTTATTATAAAATTTATGATAATTAGTGTTTTATATATTATTTTTCCTGCCATTAGTGTCGAGATCTGTTTTCTTTGTCTATTTTTCAGATTAATTTGTAATTTTAATTATGAATTATTTTATATTATTATTAATTTTTTCTCAGTAAAAGAAATTTTATTATTATTATTATTATATAAAATACAAAACTTTTTTTTACTGTTAACGAGTAGAACGAATAGACGTTCAAATAATTATTATATATTATTATTGAAATATATTATAAGTTAATTATAACGAGGTATTTTTAAAAATTACCCAAAAGTGTTCAATAAGTTTATTATTATTATATAATGCAAAAAATATTTATTTACATAATTCTGTTCACTCTCTGTTTCTATAAATATATTATAAGTTAATTATAACGAGGTATTTTTAAAAATTACCCAAAAGTGTTCAATAAGTTTATTATTATTATATAATGCAAAAAATATTTATTTACATAATTCTGTTCACTCTCTGTCTCTAATACTACTGCCATTCCTAGACCTCCAGATTCCTCTACCACTCTATTCAATACACTTTTGATTTAATTATTTATTAATTTATATTTTAATTATATTTTTATTGAATATTATTAATATTATTATGATTTGGCACTATTTGTGGTGATTGTGTATAACAATTGACAATTTTTAATTATGAACAAAAATTGATTTAATAAAAACCTCTTTAAATGAATGTAAAGCTAAAATATTGTGTGTTTTTATTATGATTTGTATGTATTATTAGTTTTTAATGATTTTTGTCCGCAAATAAAAATAATATTATTTGAAACGAAAATGTTTTACTTTATTCACTAAAATATTTGGTATCCATAATGAAATTCATTGGTAATTATAAATAAAATCTAAATATAGATTAAAAGTCAAGTAATAATTAATAGTATTTTAAGTAGATTTATTTTTATAAAATTAAAATTATGTAATATTTTGTTGTTTAATTTGTGTCAACAATATTAACAAACAAAACAAAAATCCCTTTGAATCTTGTAATCGATGGTTTGATTTATAAATAGTTATTTTGTTTTATTTTCTCTCAAATTATATGCCATGTCTTATACATGTATTTTATAAACAAATAGTAATTAACAAAAATCTATCTCAACTCTTGATGTTATAAAACTATGGTAAAATACAAAGCATTGCATTAATTATTATGCAATTATTAAAACATTTGATGGGTTGGAGAGTCTGTACATATAAACTACTAATTATTTATACCAATAATAGTAATCATGTATTAATTTATTATTGTATCGATCCGCTAAGCTCGTTGATAATCACTAGTTAATAATATCGATATTATAAGCAATTCATAATATTAATTATGGTAATAATTAACTGAATATTTTAATCGCCAGCACGAGGACAGGTATGGGGGAGAGTGGCTGAGCGGCCCCTATAGTCAACATTTAAATACAAGTTAAGTGATTTGTAATGAAATTAGCATATTGGTTAATTATTATCATTTTATTAATTAATGTCAAAATAGTTAGCGTTTTATATTTTTAATTACGATTCATATATGAAGAATGTGGTTTATAGGATCGTTCTGCCCCCCTCCCCCCTCCGCCCCCCCGCTCTATGGGATTTAACATGGGATTACAGCTTAAGTCTATGGCTATACTTT